CCTTCCAATGTGTTATCTGTTTCTGACAATTTAGTGTGAATCTTCTGGATTTCTGTCTGTAGATTTAGTATCATTTCTAATTTTTCATTTATTTTGTTATTTTTTTCTTGTATTTTCTTCCAAAATTCTTCTAGGGTTCTGTCTGTGTTTTTCTTGGTCTTTCTCTCAATCCTTTGAAGATGCCTTAATATCATTCTTTTGAATTCCTTATCAGAGAGTTCCAATGCTGCTTCTTCCTCAGGGATGTGTTCTGGATCTGTATCCTGTTCCCTTGTTTCTCCTGCTTTATCTTGCTTCTTTGTGTGGACTGTGATGATCTGTTGTCTCTGAGACATCGTGGCGTTGTTGTATTAAGATCTCTGTTAACTGTTTGTGAAGAGCAGCCAAGGGTGATTCAGGCTCTTCTTGGTGGTTTTATATCATTGGCCCGTTGATGGAAAAGGAGGTGGTGGCTCTTGGTCAGTAAGTGAAGTTGCAGGAGGTGTGGATGTCTTCGCTGGTGCTTCGCGTTTTATTCCCCAGCCACCAGAGCAGTCCTCTGTGCAGTCCCTGTCTAGCAGGGATGATTTTTTAGTTAATTCTTAGGTCCTCCCACCACTCTGCACTCTCCAAGCTGTCTGTGCCATGTCATCAGGCTTGCTCAAGATCGCTGCCAGACCACAGCTCCATATGTCTTGTTTTTGGGCATTTTCATGCAAATTCTTCTAGTAGTTGGGGTTTAGTCCACTTCTATATCCTTCCCTTCAAGGATCAGGGGTCCAGGATTATCTTCTATGTCTGTGTTAATTGATTCCCCTTTTCTTTGTTGAAGAGGGTCTGTGTAGTCTTTCTCTCTGTTCTGCCATCTTACCGGAAGTCTAGTCAGCTGATCTTTGACAAAGGGCCAAAATCCATTAAGTAGGGAAGAGGTACTCTCTTCAACAAATGGTGCTGGCAAAAGTGGATATCCAGTTGCAGAAAAGTGAAATGAGATCTGTACCTCACACCATACACAAAAACTAACTCCAGATGGATCAAAGACTTAAATGTGAAACATAAAACTATAAAGTTCCTCAAGGAGAAAGTAGGGGCAAATTTTGGGGCACTACTTTATTGCATAAATAGACTATCAAGCATCACCCAAAATCAGTATATCATCATAAAGATATACTGTTGTTGTTGTTGTTGTTATGTGGCATCAAGTCAGACCCAACTCATAGTGACCCCTCCAGGGGTTTCTGAGGCAGTATCACTACGGAAGTAGATTGCCCAACCTTCCTTCTAAGGAGTAGCTGGTGGGTTTGAACTGCCAGCTTTCTGGTTAGCGATCAAGTGCCTTATGCACTATGCCAACAGAGCTCCCAGATATATCTATGTTGTTGTTGTTGTATATACTAGTAGAAGATATACTAGATGATTGGGACCTTCTAATAATTAAAATATTTTGTGCTTCAAAAACTTCTCCAAAAGAATAAAAAGAGAACCTACAGATTGGGAAAAATATTCAGCAATGACAAACCTGGCAAGGAACTTACCTCTAACATTTATGGAAAACTCCAACACCTCAACAACAAAAAGACAAACAATCCAATTTAAAAATGGGCAGAAGACATGAGTATATGCTTCATCAAAGATATTCAGGTGGCCAAGAAACACATGAAAAAATGTTCACAATTGTTAGCCATTAGAGAGATGCAAATCAAAACAACAGTGAGATACCATCTCACCCCAGCACTAATAGCAAAGTTCAACAAGACAGAAAATAACATATGCTTGTGAGAATGTGGAGAGATTGGGACTCTCATACATAGCTGGTAGAACTGTAAAATGCTACAACCACTGTAGAATCAATATGGCAATGCCTTAAAAGGTTAGAATTAGAAATAGCATTTGATCCAGCAATCCCCTTAATAGATATATATCCTAAAGGAGTGAGAGCAAGGACAAGAATAGATACATGCACACCCACATTCATTGCAGCACTATTCACAATAGCAAAGAAATGGAAACAACCTAAGTGGCCATCAACAGAAGAATGGATAACCAAATAATAGTAAATACATCCAACGGAATACTATACAACACTAAATAATAATGTAGAATCTGCAAAGCACCTCATAATGTGGATGAACTTGAAGGACATTATTCTGAGTGAACTAAGTCAATCACAGAAAGACAAATATTATATTAGTTCATTATTGTAAAAAGTCAAGGAAAAGTTTCTACATGGAAGGAAACTTTCTTTGTTGGTTACCAGGAATGGGAGGGGAGGAAACATTGCTAGATAGATAAAGACAAGTGTTGATTTGGATGAAAGGAAGGGCAGTGTACCAAAAGTGAGTGATCATCATGGTGGCATTGAGGAAGACAGAGAGAGGTACACAGGAGGTACAGACAGCAAAGATGAACCCTTTTGCATGTACAGTACTGCGTTGTCAGTGATGGCAAGAATTGATCTACATGTGAACAGATGTGTGGACAGTCTGAATGATCAGGTATGTGTAGGCAGGGGGTGGTGTGCCCATGACTATGCATAGGGTTGACAGATGTTTCTACAAGCATATTTGTGTGTGCTGTAAGAATGTCCAATTGTATAGTAGAGCTGACAAGGGACAAGGTTGTGGTTCTACAAGCATATTTTTGTGTGCTGTAAGAATATCCAGGTGTATAGTAGAGCTGACAAGGGACAAGGTTGTGGTGGTCTTGGCCACAGACAACTACCCTGAGGAAGTGAGTAGTTGGACCTTGGGCTCTGGACCATGGTCACAGGGGACATTAAGCCCAGTTGGCATAACGCTCTACACAAAAACATTGTTCTACACCCTACTTTGGTGAGTAGCAACTGAAGTCTTAAAAGCTTGCAAGCAGCTGTAGGTGCAATGGTGGGTCTCTCCTTGTCCAGAGCAAAGAAGAATGAAGAAAACCAAAGACACATGGAAACAGTTGTTGAAGGGACTAGTAGACCTCAGCCTATGTGACCATTAGGCCAGAAGAACTAGATGGTGCCTAGCTACCACTGTCAACCACTCAGAGGAGAATCAGTGCAGGAGATCCTGGATAGAGCGGGAGAACAATGTGGAACAAAACTCAAATTCATTAAAAAAAGAAAAGAAAAAGACCAGGTTTCCTGGTCTCATAGAGTCTGGTGAGACCCCTGAGACTATGGCCTCTAGTTACCCTTCAGGTCTGGAACTGAACTCACTCCTGTGACTTCCAGCCAAACAATAGACAGGTATATGGGGTGAGCATGTACATCAGGTAGATACACTTCTTGGAGCAGTCAATCATGGGAGAACAGAAGGGCAGTGTTTGCACAGGGAGACAGTTCAGGAGGACGGGGTGGGAGTGGATGGGAGGGAAGGACAGAAGGAAGAACTATGGAGAGGAAGTGGGAAGAGAGCTGTTAACATTGTGGGAAATTGCAGTCCATGTCATAAAACAAAATGTGTGTGTACTGCTGTATGGGAAATAAATTTGCTCTGTAAACTTTTACCCAAATCACAATTAAAAAAAAAAGATGTCACTAAGTTCATATTTATTGAATATGGTGGTGGTTGGGTGAGGGGGGGTGGCCAAGAGCACATTTTCAAACTGTAATGCTTTTGTCCCCCTAAAGAAACTGTTTTTAATTACCCAAATAGGAATTGCTTCTGGGCCAGAAGTCTGAACCTTAGTTGGCCAATCATTTATTACATCACCCATTTGAAATCTACTTGAGAAAAACTTCTGATAGTCTCACCCAGTGTGTTCTCCCATGTTCTTTTCTGGAAAGTTGAATAAAGTGAATACCTTTTTCCCTTTGCTTTTTAGTCCTGGAGAGCCTTGGCTTCTGGAATGAAGTTAGCGCAATCATCACAGGATCAGAATTGATAAGAGGGTTCCCCTATACCTTCACGGTGCCAGGCCTGCCCCAGTACCTCCAGAGCCTCACCAAACTTGCCATAGCAGTTGTGTGGGCAGTGACGGCCAAGGCTGGAGAGCAGACAAGGAATGTCCCCATCTCCTTCTCTCAACTGTTAGAGTCTGCCTTCCCTGAAGTGCGCTCACTGACACTGGAAGCCCTGTTAGAAAAGTTCTCAGCAACAAGCTCTGGGTTAGCAGAGAAAGAACTACCACCCTTACTGCACAATATGGAAGAGAAGTTCTTGGTATTGGCTATGAAGGAAAAGCACCCAGAATGCTTCTGCAAGGTAAAGTCTCTGGTGTACTGACCATTCCCTTCCATATCCCGTACTCTTTGGCAAGCCCACTGGAATAAGATTATGAAGGCAGGATTGAGTTTGGGTTCTCCACGGGCCATAGGAAGTAGATTCACCATCCAAAGGGCAAAGGACTCTCTTTGTATGGTGTTTGGCATAGATTCATGGACAGAAAGGCACTAAGAAAAGCTTTTGATAATAATGGTATTGATGTCAGAGATTAACTAAAGGCAGAGTAAGCCACTCTGGTATGTTTAGGAAACAAATTGAAAATTGGCTGTAGAGTGTGTCAGAGGGTAGTCTGTGCTGACATGGCTATTTGGGAACAGATGGCCACTTAGAACTCAGGGTAAAAGGAAAGGGTACTAACCTAGAAATTTAGGCATGTAGATTTCAAGGCCAGGTCACATGGAGCCCTTGGGTTCAGCATAGTTTCACCTGCCTCAGTCTCCCAAAGGTATTTAGGGGAAATGAGTCAGTAGAAGCCTTTTGAAAGATGGATCCTATTACCAGTGCAAGTGATTGTTATTTAGCATCTGGAGACATTTTCCTGAGTATTTTATTTTTTCATGAATTTGGCTTTCTTTCTACACACAGCTACTGAAAATTCTTTATTGCATGGACCCCAGTAAGTGGCTTCCCCAGACAGAATACTGTGTCCATCTAACCCCAGAGGAGTTCTTGATATGGACCATGGATATTGCTTCCACTGAAAGGTTTGTCTCTGACGCGCCCTGTGTAACTTTGTGCAATGCATGGTCCTGTCAGTCAGTTATGTCATCATAGTCCTGGCCTAAGAACACAGGCCATTTATTCTCTCAGACCTTCAACCTAAGAGCTATGTTCTAAGCATAAGCAAGGAGCTCTGGTGATGTAGTGCCTAAGGCACTTGACTACTAACCAGAATGCTGATGGTTCAAACCCTCCAACCACTTCTCAGAAGGAAGGTTGTGCAATCTACTTCTGTAGTGATACCGCCTCAGGAACCCAAGGAGGGGTCCCTATGAGTTGGGGCTGACTCGATGGCACATAACAACAACAGCAACAAGTATAAGCAATACAGTGATGTCTGAGTTTCACATTAAATATCCAAAAGGTTATTGCTTCTTAAGATGTTTAAATAGCCAGGTAGTGGAGATTCCCAGCATTCACATGTGCATAGTTGACAGACTGTCAGCAAAAACAATGCGTGTATAAAAAGTGTTTGATTTTATTTCTTGGCTTACATTTTCTAGGTCTGAAATTCAAAGCATAGCTCTGAGACTTGCCTCCAAAGTGATTGCCCACCACATGCAGACACGTGAGGTAAGGCTGACTCTGTGCCTGTCCTAGAATCTGTTTTTTGTGCTCTTATTTACTTGGATGGGATCAGTAAAAGTGAACTGTCCCAGGCAGCAGAATCACAATGACAAGTATGTTTAGCCTCTATACCCATGAGGGTAACACAGCCTCTTCCCAGCCAACACACATATGCCCAATTCCCTTGTTTTTTCCCCGTTTTTTGAGTTAGATTATTTATTTAAAAAGGAAATAGTAAGTCAATTCTAAGAATATTTAGGACTGAAATGTAGCGAGCTAAGTATAATAGTATGACAAGGTATCACAAAGGCTTAAATTAACTCTTCCCCCAGAGCAGGGCCCAGCTAGCTCTAGATGGAGGCCCAGATGTGGCCCACCTGTTTTACATGTGCTTTGGAGAGAGGTAGAACTAACATAAACAGAAACTAGGAAGATGCTACTTAAGGGCGTACAAGAAAGATACTACAATCACAGAATTATTCATTACAAGTATAAAGCTGTCGATACCACAGTAAAAGTAAATGAAGGTCTTAATTATGTTGTGGTAACACTTATGGTGGGTGGCATAACATTGCTGCTCCTGAGCCCTAACTATAAACCTGAACTAAATAATTGGAGATGCAAATTTGAATAAAAATTGGAGGTACAGTCTATTGAGATAAAAGATAATTAGGACTCCCTGGGTAATGCCAATGGTTAATGAACTCAGTTGCTAACTGAAAGGTTGGAGATTTGAGTCCACCTAGAGACACCTCAGAAGAAAGACGTAATGGTCTACTTCTGAAAAACAGCCACTGAAAACCCTATGAAGCACAGTTCTACCCTGACACACATGGGATCACCATGAGTTGGTAATGACTCAGTGGCAACTGGTACTGGTACTAGACAGATAATTACATTAAATGCTCTAGTAGGGAAGTTTACATAGGCCATGGGGACCCAGGGAAGGAGTGGAGTGTTTGAGGGAACTGAGGAAGACTTCATAGAGGAGACAATTAAGTTCAGAGATTAAACATGAGGCTGAACAGATTAAAAGCTGTTGTTGTTGTTGTTAAGTGCAGTCGAGTCGTTTCCAACTCATAGCGACCCCATGCACAGCAGAACGAAACACTGCCTGATCCCGCGCCAACCCCACAATCCATGCTATACTCGAGCCCATCATCGCAGCCACTGTATCAATCCATCTCCCTGAAGGCCTCCCCCTCTTTCGTCGACCCTCCACCCTACCAAGCAT